GGGGCACGAAATCGAACTGGTAAGAGCCCAGCAGCCCATTACACATGCAGTTCCTGCTTCCCCTCTGCCTACTACCCCTAAGAAGGTGCCATTTACTGCATTCAAGGCGTTTGTCGAGAATGAAGAGGAGATCAATGGATATTTAGCCGATTTCGAGAGACAGTGCTCTTTACACCAGGTACCCCCTGACCAATGGGTTACCATTTTAGCTGGGAAGCTGTCAGGCAAGGCTAACGAGGCCTTTCGGGCCCTCACCGCAGAGGATATTTTACAGTACCAACAGGTCAAAAAGGCCCTGTTAGCCCATTATGCTGTGACGCCAGAGGCATACCGCCGACGATTCCGTGAGTCTAAAAAGAAAGCCGTGGACTCTCACATGGAATGGGCCAACCGTCTACAGAGAGTAGCCTCCCACTGGGTCCAAGGATGTAATGCCAGTACAGGGGAGGAAGTCCTACAACTATTCTTAATGGAACACTTCTTCCAGGACTTAGCAGCTGATCTACAGGACTGGGTAAGGGATCGACGACCCAGCAACCTGAAGGAGGAGAGTTAGTCAAGGCTCTCACCGCACAACCAGCAGGCCGGAACCACATACCCCAGCCAGCAATTTTTGCCCTGAGTTCCGTGCTCCCGTACCACCAGGGCCCCCTCGCCCACAGGGGTCCCCCAGCTACCTAAGAGATGTATCTCGGATGGCGTGCCATCGCTGCAACAACTTGGGACACATGGCCCGTCACTGCCCCCTGGGGTCAGCAGCCAACAACTGGCGACGACCCTCACCACCTACAGAGACTGCATCACCCCGCCCTCCTTTTTCGTCCCCACGTACCTTAGCCGCCCATTGCCTGGAGACAGAGGTGGGCCCCGAGGAATGCCTGGGTATCTTGTATGAGGCGGACCCGATACAAGCCGCCTCCCCAGATAATCGACAACACCATCGACAAGAAGTGCGGGTGAATGGACAGGTGGCGCAAGGATTAAGAGACACTGGGGCCACCGTTACCTTAATGCAGAGACACCTGGTAAAACCTGAACATTTGTCCAACCGAACTGTGGCTGTACGAGTTGCTGGAGGAGCTGTTTTCCATTTACCCACTGCTAGGGTACACCTGGATTGGGGAGTCGGGTCTGGGAAGACCACTGTGGGCATCATGGACAGTTTACCCGCAGAAGTCGTACTGGGCAATGACATTGGCCCGCTTGCATCAGCTTATCTACCTACGACTGCTGCCGCTTGCCCAGTGACCACACGTTCCCAGGCGTATGCTGCCGATGACCCTGCACCAGGACGGGAGACCCAGGTAAGCCACGACCCAGCCCCTAGGCCAGACCCCATGGAGAGACCCTTAGCTTGGGATACCCCGGAAGCATTTGGGAGGGAGACACGGGCAGATCCTACCCTCCAAAAATACAGGGAGCTTGCCGATAGTGGTGGGAGTGAGAAGGAACGCTTTATCTGGGATACTGACCGACTGTATAGATTGACAGAAGGGAAAAAGACAGGCGGTGTCCCATCGTAGAAGCGCCAACTAGTGGTACCCAGAAAGTACCGATTGGAACTTCTGCAAATTGGACATGATATTCCCTTGGCAGGACATTTAGGAGGTAACCGCACTACCTACCGGATTACCCAGACCTTCTTTTGGCCAGGCATCTCGAAGGATGTGCGACGTTACTGTAGTACTTGTGACGTGTGTCAACGGGTAGGGAAGCGAGGGGACCACACGAAAGCCAGACTGTTACCCATGCCAGTAATCGAGGAACCATTTAGCAGGGTGGCAGTCGATCTGGTGGGGCCCTTACCGAATCCCAGTCCCTTCGGTAAGAAATATATTCTTACCGTAGTGGACTACGCAACCCGCTATCCGGAAGCAGTCGCGCTGACGAATATCCAGGCCGACACTGTCACCAGTGCCTTGGTCGGGATATTCACCAGAGTAGGGTTTCCGCAAGAAATTTTGTCTGACCGAGGGACGCAATTTACCGCAGATCTGACCCAACAGTTATGGAAGGTCTGTGGTATCAAGACCCTGTTTAGCTCGCCATACCACCCCCAGACTAACGGGCTCTGTGAACGCTTTAATGGTACCCTAAAACAATTATTACGGACCTTTACGGCGGAATACAGAGACTGGGAGCGATTCCTGCCGCACCTCTTGTTTGCCTACCGAGAAGTGCCGCAGGAATCCACTGTGTTCTCTCCGTTCGAGTTGCTCTATGGACGACGAGTGCGAGGCCCCCCTCGACCTCATCCGAGAGCACTGGGAAGGAGAGATGGAACATGAGGGTGTCCCGATTGTACCATACGTTCTGGAGATGAGAGACCGCATGGAACAGCTAGCTCGGATGGCTAGAGACCATCTCGATGCGGCCCAGGGTCGACAGAAGAGGTGGTATGATAGGGGTGCCCGTCAGAGAACCTTCCAGGTGGGGCACAAAGTGCTAGTTCTCAGACCAGTAAAAGGGAACAAGCTCCAGACCTCATGGCAAGGCCCTTACAAGGTGGTAGCCCAAATATGTGATACCACTTACGTAATAGCCAGCAGCAAGGATGACCGGATTCGGAAATCCTTCCATGTGAATCTACTAAAAGAATATCAGGAAAGAGCCGAGGATATTGCAGCCATCTGCAGTCCCAGTGCAGAGGACTCAGACGGGCTGCCTATCCCTGACTTGTTAGCAGGTCCCGAACCAAGTAATATCCTCGATACTATCCATCTAGGGGAGCGGTTGAACCCGGCAGAAAAGGGACAGATCAGACAGCTGTTGACAGAGAAGAAACTGACATTCCCCCAAGAGCCAGGATACACAACGTTAGCTACCCATTATGTGGAAACCCCAGGGCAGACGCCACTTAGGCAGACCCCTTACAGGATCCCAGAGGCAGTTAAAGAAGAGATGAGGAAAGAGATACAAGAGATGCTCAAGTTAGGAGTCATAGAACCCTCAGACAGCCCGTGGGCCTCACCCGTAGTACTGGTACCCAAAAGGGATGGGACCACCAGGTTCTGCGTCGACTATAGACGTCTCGATGATAGGACAGTGACCGATGCGTATCCCATGCCCCGCGTAGACGAGCTCCTAGATCGCATTGCTAGGGGGAGATATCTGACTACCATTGATCTGTACAAAGGGTACTGGCAGATTCCCCTAGCCAAGGAGGCTGTCCCCAAGTCGGCCTTCGTCACCCTGTTTGGCTTGTACCAATTCAAAGTCAAGCCATTCGGGATGAAGAACGCTCCCGCTACCTTTCAGCACTTGGTCGACAGGCTCCTTGATGGCTTCCAGGATTTCGCATGTGCGTACCTGGATGACATTGCGATCTACAGCGAGACCTGGGGAGAACACCTCCGAAAGGTGGGGGCTGTACTGGATCAGATTAGGGCCGCAGGTCTCACTCTGAAGCCAGAAAAATGTAATTTTGTGATGGCCGAAGTACAGTACCTAGGACACCGGGTGGGGTGTGGGAAGCAATGGCCGGAGCCAGCCAAAGTTGAGGCCGTGGCTAATTGGCCCACACCACACACCAAGACCGAGGTACTGGCTTTTCTAGGGACGGCAGGATACTACAGGAAATTTGTCCCAGACTATAGTAGCATCGCCAAACCTTTAACAGACTTGACCAAAAAGAATCTACCTAGGATAGTCCTGTGGTCTCCCGCCTGCAAAACAGCATTTCAGACATTAAAGAACGCCTTAATCAACGCTCCTGTGCTATCTGCCCCAGTCCCTAACAAAAGGTTTGTCGTCCACACAGATGCCTCCATGTACGGACTGGGAGCAGTTTGAAGCCAGATCGGAGAAGATGGAGGAGAACACCCTGTCCCGTACGTAAGCAGAAAACTGCTACCCAGGGAAGTGAGCTACGCGGCAGTGGAAAAATAATGTTTAGCCCTGGTTTGGGCCCTAAAGAAATTGACTCCATATTTGTATGGTCAGGAGTTCACCCTCATCACTGACCATAACCTTCTCGTGTGGTTGAACCGCGTGGCCGGAGATAATGGTCGTTTGTTAAGATGGAGCCTTATAATTTTTCCTTACAATATCGGCCAGGTAAACTCAACGGGAACGCGGATGGCCTGTCCAGACAAACCGAACTGATGCCATAACCGAAATCCGGACAGCCCCACAGTGATCCGAAAAGGATCAATCCGGGTCTGCCGGGGTGTCCCACAAAAGGGGAGCCATGTAACAACAAGCCCAGTATGCCTGCAAAAGACAAATGGATTATACAGCCGTTCTGTATTTTTGTAAGCATTCACCATGCGAATGCTTACCTGCCTTAACAGGCCACCCTGACTGTTAATTATGGCCAATTTACCTCCCTGGTTGATGGGCATTTTATTCGAAATCAACCGCACAAACGCTATGGGAACTGTAAGCTCAGCCGCCATTTTGGGACTTACACGTGTTCGCGGCCATTTTAACTCCCGAACAGCGGTGTTTGCCGATGAATGTCTGGAACTAAAATCGGACACTCAAACAGGCGAACACCGATGAGACCTTCATACCTTTGGGAAAGTATCACCAAATCTACCGAACAACCGGGCGTTCGGTAGAAAGGATTAACAGCAGATGGGGATTTCAGCGAACCCAGGATGGTATACGGATGGCCGGCCGTTCGGGAGTTTTTACCCACGTTCTTAGACTGACTGCAGGGCCAGCATTCATGGAACTGTTTTCGGCTACTGTACCCGTGCAGTCGGTCAAAACTTCTAAGTCCTATATCTCCCGAACGGCTGAACTGATTGAGCTGATTTTTTCATATGTTGGTACCTGAACTATAAGCTATCTGCTTATACTTATGGTGTACATCCAAACTTTGGGGAAAAACTGTTCTTTTTTAATTATGTTATGTGGTTATCTGAGGGGAGGGAATTTACCGAATGTGTATTGTATGGATTGGTTATACTGCTAATTATGTGGGTGTCTCCCTTGCATGGGCAGAATCTCATAAAAGCAGAGTGTGTGTCATTAAACATCAGTTCTTCTTGACCCTTCAAAACGTAGCCTCGTCTCGTTCTTGAAAGGGGAATCTCTGCAGCTTAATCACTTAGCTCTTTTCAGAGCTGCACCTGGCTTCCACTCTTGATCCAGCAGAAGGGAATAGGCGACTCCATCACTACACAGCGACTGCCAGGAAGAAAAGGACATCCCTAATGGCTGGTACCCTCTCTACACCAGGGTAGCCGTTACAGTGTTGTTACCCCGCTTTCACTGTTGTATAATAGGGTACTGTGGCGAAACCGAACTCGCCACGTGTCCTTGGAGGGGGCTCTTGCCTTTGGACTATGGACCAGACTTTATGTGAATGTGTTAACCCAGATAGCTATGCCATGGAGCCCATTCGTGTAGTTAAAGACTTCGCCTCCATGGCAATTGAACTTTGTGAATAGGATCTGAGCGCTATTCGGTAGTTTTGTGCGCTCAGATCCCAGCTATGTCTGTGTGTTATGTGTAAAAGGTGACTTTATGTATTTTAAAGTGTTTTATGTCTTTTTGCAACCATGTGCTCAATGGAGTCTGCCTCTATCCCTGGATAATTGGATTACTTTCCCCCATTGTCTCCAGGATCGAGGGCTCTGTAAAACCTGTTTGAGCCAGATAGCCATGTGCCAGCCAGGGCCCAAAAGATACTTTTACTAACTTTTGAACCCCTGGTCTGATTCATGCCATTTTTTAATATGTTGTTCCCCTGAATGGATTGATTGTGAATATGTAATTTTATGTGAATGTGATGTATGGTTTTAAAGTTCTGAAAGTTGGGTAGAAAGTATGTTTTAACTGTATGTGTAATTGAGTTTCCTCTCAGGATAAGGGGAGGGAATATGTGGGATGTAACTGATATGTGATTGGTTGTTTTATACCTCCCTGTGGGCGGTCCTGTATGTGAAAGGCTGTAATAAAAACCAGGCTGGGTGTGCCAGCAAGAGAGTTCCTGTTTTAACCCTCAAAGTGAAGTGTCTTCTCATTATTGGGGGAAGGATTTATTGTATGCTGTTCCAGTTTGACTGCTAGGAGTGTAAACCTATTCAATGGTTTTTCCTATTCGGCTGTATACAACATTCTTATGCTTGAGAGCATTCATATGCTCCTACGGTTCGGTGGTTTTGGTGTCTGCTGCAGTGCTTGGAGTCCTCAGGAAGTGCTAGGAGCATCCTTCAACGGAGGTACCCAGTCGGGGTGCCTGGTGATCCGTTACAGGTACCACCCGAGAAGTGTGACTGCAACAATAGTCACACTTACACACCGAATATTAAATATAACAATCAACACCTGTTGACGGGTATAACCCCAAAAAACAGTCAGAGGTATCTAACGTTATAACGCCCACAATCCCCCATACGGCTTCAATAACAAGCCATACCTTACTTGTTTGCAGACCACTGCACTGTGCCATTTGGCTAACAGGTCTTGTATATAGTTCTTGTTTAACTCTTCCTCCTCATATCTACCTGACCTTCCCTCATCCAGAACCCGGTGATAACAAAACCGGAGTAAGGGCACTATTACCAAACATGAGAGAAGATTCCCTCTCCCACTCAGCCTAACTCTCACCGATACGATGTCGATCAAAATACTCTCCCTAAACACAAAAGGGTTACATTCGCCAAATAAGAGGCGAGTGGCACCCCTAGAGGCCATGAAACAGAAGGCACATATAGCTTTCTTCCAAGAAACACATTTTAAATGGGGCTCCCAGCCTAGGTTTAACTCACCCTTGTTCCCGATAGACTACCACTCTTGCTACTACAAAAAAAAAAAGAGGGGTTTCTATCCTAGTGAGTAAAACTACTACCTTTGAACTAGTTCGCAAAATCAGTGACAGTAAAGGCAGATACCTCATCCTCCAATGTTTTATCAATAACAGTCCCTTCACATTAATGAATATCTATGGGCCCAACAAAAACCAAGAGTTGTTCATGTCACATGTATTTGCATTGTTGAATTTGTATAGCTTTGGGGAGGTAATACTTAGACGCGATAACAATTTTCTCCTAGAGAGTAACAAAGACTCCTCTGCCTCAGGCACTGTAGCACCCACAACATCTAAAAGACGACTTACACAGTCCCAACATATCTGTACTACCCTGTCCACTCATGACTACATAGACCCCTGGAGGATAACACACCCCACCGACATCGACTATACTTGCCATACCCCTGCGCACAACAGCTACTCAAGAATTGACAAATTTTTAATCAAAACAACGTCTCTACCGAAAGTATTGCACACAGAAATTGGCATCATTTCGTGGTTGGACCACGCTCCCATGACGTGACCCTGAAAGACTGTCTCCCCTTTCAATAATTTGTCCTGTTGCTGGGGAGAGGTGATAACTGGTTCCTCTCCCTGGAACACTCTCTGCTGTTGGAGAGGGGGAGCAACTGTCTCCCCTTTTAATATATTGTCCTGCTGCTGGGGAGCGAGACCGACTGTCTCCGCTTCCTGCAGGACACACTGCCGCTGGGGAGGAAGTACGGCACCTTCAGCTCCCTGGGATACATACTGCCGCTGGGGAGGAAGGACAACACCTTCAGTTCCCTGGGACACACACTGCCGCTGGGGAGGAAGGATGACACCTTCAGCTCCCTGGGACACACACTGCCACTGGGGAGGAAGGACGGCACCTTCAGCTCCCTGGGACACACACTGCCGCTGGGGAGGAAGGATGACACCTTTGGCTCCCTGTAACTCACTCTGCCGCTGGGGAGGAAGGACGACACCTTCGGCTCCCTGTAATACACACTGCCGCTGGGGAGGAAGGACAGCACCTTTGTCTCCCTGTAACTCACTAGGCTGCTGGGGAGGAAGGACGGCACCTTTGGCTCCCTGTAACTCACTCTGCCGCTGGGGAGGAAGGACGACACCTTTGTCTCCTTGTAACTCACTCTGCCGCTGGGGAGGAAGGACGACACCTTTGTCTCCCTGTAACTCACTCGGCTGCTGGGGAGGAAGGACGGCACCTTTGGCTCCCTGTAACTCACTCTGCCGCTGGGGAGGAAGGACGACACCTTTGGCTCCCTGTAACTCACATGGCTGCTGGGGAGGAAGGACAACACCTTTGGCTCTCTGGAACTTACTCAGCAGCTGGGGTGTCTCCCCCCTGGCCAACTCTGCTAGGGCTTGCAGGTACTCTCCTATTGTTTTCTTGGCGATCCGCACTGTACTCTCCGCGGGGTTGGGTCCACAGAGCGACAGCACCGCATTAACCTCTCTGTCAAACTGCTGTTGAGTGTAGCCAGGCGCCATGCTTCCTCTGCCGAAGTTGGTTCCTCTGTAGATAGGGGCGCTGTACGGGTACTAGCGTTACCCTCAATTTGTAAATCCAGGGAATGGTGTTACCTTGTAGCTGTCCTTCTGGGCTGTGAGACTGATCCCGTCGCTTTCCACCAATTGTAACGGACCGTTTCGCTCATCAGAGGTTAAAAACCGTTTAGGCGATAATCCCCTTCCAGACAGACAAGCAGCTACAGCAAGCACCAATCTCCCGAACTGCAAACTACACGAATCTTCAAACTCCCGAATTGCACACACTTGAATTCCCCAATCTCACGAACTGGAAAAGCATATGAATCCTCTCAAGCATATGAATGCTGTAGACAGTTGAATAGGAACCATACAAATAGGTTTACTCTCCTAGCAGTCAAACTGGAACAGCATACAATAAATCCTTCCCCCAATAATGAGACGACACTTCACTTTGAGGGTTAAACAGGAACTCCCTGTACTGTCACATACAGTCTCTTTTATTCCCAATCCACAAACATAGTACAGCCCACAGGGCGTTACAAAACAGCCAATCAATCCATACAATACACCCAGACACTCCCACACAAAATCCTCCCCTCTGGCTGTGATATGATTACTGAACACAATGGGTAATCTAATTATCACAGCCAGAGAAATACAGTTTCATAAAACACATCACAGGGACCCCAAAACATGCAATAACCCCTGTAACGGACCGTTTTGCACAAAAGGGGAAAAAAACGCTTAGACGATAATCCCCCTTTCAGAGACAGGCACAGCTACTGTAGAATCACCAAAACTCATGAACTGAATACAAGTGAATGCTCCAAACTCCCGAACGGCATACAAGGGTATGCTCCAAACACTCGAACTGCATACAAGGGAATGGTCCAAACACTCGAACTGCATACAAGTGAATGCTCCAAACTCCCGAACGGCATACAAGGGAATGCTCCAAACACTCGAACTGCATACAAGGGAATGGTCCAAACACTCGAACTGCATACAAGTGAATGCTCCAAACTCCCGAACGGCATACAAGGGAATAAGGTAGCACTCCAAATACACGAACAGGAACCATACGAATTGCTGCTACCAGACGAACAGGAAAAGCTCCCAAGCGGCTTACACTCCTGGCAATCAGTCCTTAGCAGCATACAGTAAATCCCCCCAAAGACGAGACAGAGCTCCGTGTTGAGGGTCAAGCAGTGGTCTGTTTAATGAGGGCTACCTGCCCAGCTTTTATGCAGGTCTCCCACCTGGTGGACACTCCCCTAGGGGACCAAATGGGAGACTGTGACAAGGGACAGACAAGTATACAAAAAGGACACACAGTCACAGTATATTCCCACAATGCATCCTGGCTTCCTCCCCTCTGCCCTGGGAGATAATTGGGAAGTAACTCAATTATCTCCCAAGTCAAAGGCAAAACTCCATTACACACGTGGGAACACAAAACCAGCATTATACTTTAAAATGCACAAAGTAACATTTACTACATAAAACACAGACATGTAACATATCCCCAGATAGCTCAGGTCTGAGTGCACATTATTAGGTGAATGGCACTCAGACCACACGAATACAGTTTTAATTGCCATGGAGCCAAAGTCTTTAATTCCACGAATAGGCTCCATGGCATAGCTATCTGGGTTAAAACATTCCTCCAACATAAAATACCGAATTTACATGCATTCGTTCAATCCGTGCGAATTAGAACCAGGGGTTGGAGGTTCAGCGGTGCCTGCACGTAAAAGTGTCCGGGTTTGGTGCATGAAAGCCGGGCAGACAAGCGCTGGCTGCCCGGGGAGCTCCAGAACACCGCCATCGTGTGGCGGCTAAGTGTAACCGCGACCACCCAGTAACAATCAATTAAGCTGCGGTTAACCGCAGCTACTGGGTGGTCAATTGCCGGCACACGCTCGTTAAGCCGCGGTTAACCGCGGCTTCAGGGAGGTAAATGGAGGGCGCACT